ATATCACTATTATTTTATTTTTAAATTTTTTATTAATAGGAGAAACAGAAATCAAAGAATTTAAAATTACCAAATTAAAAATGAAATAATGAAAATGTAAATTGAAGGTAAAATGAACGTTAAAAGTTACAAACTTAAAAAATTAAAGAGAAAACTGGCCCGGTGGTGCAAGTGGTTAAGTGCTCACGCTCTGATTCGGCGGCCCGGGGTTTGAGGTTCCGATCCCGGGCTGGCACCAATGGACTGCTTGGCAAGCCATGCTGTGGCGGCATCCCATATAGAGTAGAGGAAGATGGGCACAGATGTTGGCCCCGGGCCAGTCTTCCTCAGCAAAAAAAGAGGAGGATTGGCAGATGTTAGCATAGGGCTGATCTCACAACAACAACAAAAAAAATTAAAAACAAAGTCTAACAAAAACTATTTTAAAAATAAAAATAAAGGTAAAGTAAAATATAATTATAAAAATTTTAAAAAATAAAAAATATTTTTAAAATTTACAATACAAAACATGTTTAAAATGTATTATTTAAAAGTAAAAGGAAATATAAATAAAATAGACCAGGCTGAAAGAAAACCCAAGCTGAGAAATTCATTTAAGCCCCTAAGGAAACCTAAATGTAGCTTACTTCATGAACATCAGGAAACCTTAGGTTATTATTTTGTAAGTGCCTCTGATGATCATGAAAGAAACAAGTCGTCTTCCTGAAATGGTGGAAGGTAATCACTTTTAAGCAAACCAGGTCCTCTGGAAACCCCCATTGTGATTGCCCATCATTGCACAGGTTAAACAACTTCCTCGTTTTCACCTCATTAGCCCTCCTGTAACTTCATGCCTTTGACTTCATACTAGATTTGGCTTTGAAGTTTCCCAGTTCAAGAACAATTTGTTTCTCGTTGAATGAAATCGTCATATTAAGTCAAGCTCTCTGTATTTTCTTTTAGCAGAGCATGAACTGGTGCTCTCATGGAGAAAACACCGACTCAGTGCAAATGTGTTGTCACAGAAAAAGCACCATCTAACTACTGTGGGAATTGCAAACGGGTACTGGAGGCATCTTGCTGCAAATCACAGAACCACGCCCAAAGGGCAGTGTAGGAGGTGCTGGCTGTGCTATGATCCAGCAGGTGCTGGCTCAGAGGACAGGTGGGGCCTGCAAGGGGGAAACTGACTTTGGTGCTTGGAGAGGTGCCGCAACTGAGGAGCCCAGAGAACTGTTTGAACCCCAGTGAAAGCTGATTTCCATCAGAGAGGTCAGGGGCAGCTAGCCTGTGTCGTGGATGAACCAGAAAGAAGCCACTGCAGTGAGACCAGCAAAGTGGTCAGACCGCAGATGATCAATATCAGTCAACAACAAAGTGGGGCTCACCTGACTGCAGACAAGGTCTGACCATTTCATATAGTTGAGATATCTTAAAATCTTTTCACCTATAACAGTTCCCCATCTCTTTGATTTTTCCTTTTTAGTTTTTGGAGTAAAGGGTAAGTCAAGTACAATGTTCCACCTATTTTTTAAAGTTTCATTCATAAATAACTTTTCTGAGCATCAAGAATAGGAAAATTCCACTGCCCCTGTGTGCCAGGAGGGCGCAAGTTCATCCTTCAATATTGGGCATGTGAAACAAAAAGATATCTACCTGGTAGCTATTTTCTCAAGACTAGAAATGGGATGATTTCAAAAAGCGAAGGCAGAAAGAATATTTTACAGATTTCACAAATGATCGTTGAAATAGATATGAAATAAATGTAGATGGATTTTAGGATAAGATAGGCTTTGTTTCTTTATCCACATATACCAAAAATAAGTTTTGTTCCCCTGTTAGGGAAAAGGGTAGCATGAAGGAACCTAGGGTTCTGGGAAGAGTTAACAGGAACATGTGCAGGCAGGACTTGGGCTCCCTGGTGAGAGAGTCAGGGACAGTCTTAGTGTGGGGCAAGTGTCCTCAGGGATCCTGCCTCTGGCTGGATAGAGAACAAGTTCCTTTCTGTAGGGTTTGAGGTTCTGGTTTTGAGGTGAGGAATTCTTGCTGACTGACAGCACTCTTATAGCTAATCATTTTGCTTTTGAGAAGGTCAGACAAAATGCAGGCTCTTTTAGGGGGAAAACCACAGTGGTGTCTCTCACCCCTAGTAGCACAAGTAGGTGACAGCTATGGGAGGGGTGTGATTTCAGGGAGGGCTGGGATCTGAGGAGTCCAAAACCCGGTGAGCACTAGTTACTCACAGAGTCAGTAAATGTTCTGATTCTAATTTGAACCCTTATTGTGTCCTCTAAGTAGACTAATTCTAAAGAGGTTCGTTTTCTATGAAGGATCACAGGGTACTCTCAGCCATGATAACTTTACTTCTAGGAACTTAAGCTAGAGTATAGTCCATAAATTGGATTGCCATGCTGCTTTAAATACGAGGTAGTATCTTTGAAGAAAGTAAGAGGAAAAGGTGTCCAAAATAGTAATAACTGACAGTCAAGTTATTGAATCGTGTATGTAATATGATTTTTAGGAAGTAAATAATGTTTGTGTGTTTGCGTTTGCATTGGTGTGATTGTATTTGCATAAAAATATGAATATACTCCAAAATATCAATAGTGGTTATTTATCAGTTGGGAGATTGGGAAAAGGAGGGTATAAGTTCCATTTTCACTTTATGTTTTACTGTTTTATTTCGTTTAAAAAGAAACATTTATTATTTTGATAACTACTTTATTTAGAGATAATTTAACAGAAATAGGATTCTAACGTCTATTCACTTTACCATTAATATTATAGTAGCCAATATTTGTTAAAAATTTACTATGTGATAGGCACTGTGCAAAAAGTTTTATATTGATTTTTATTATCCATTTAATTAGATGCTATTATTAAGTACATTTTATAGATAAGAAAATATAGGAATGCAGAGTTTATCTTGTTGGCATGAAGGGCTGCTCAGCAAGTGTTTGTCTGGGCAATGCGGCTCCCCACTGGGAAACTCCACACCTCTGTGTGTTGTAGTCCCCTGGGCACTGCCCACTCTCTACAGCACAAGCGTCCACACTTACCATCCCACCAGGAGAGACATATTCAAAGTCACATAGCTAATGATTGCCAACACAATCTATTCAGTTTACTTTTTTTAGTTAAGGAAGATGAAAATGATGTACAAGTCTTGTAAGATATTCAGAAAATAGTGTGGCTTCAAAACAGT